TGGTGATCAGGATGCTGACAGAATTGGTTGATTTTGGTCACAAATTAGATGGAAAAATGAAGACTACAATAAGTGAAATGAAGAAAAATGCACAGGGAACCAATAGTGATGGAATGAAAGCTGGGTCTCACATCAATGGAGTGGACCAGAGGGAAGAAAAAAACGTACAATCAGAAAAGAATGAAGAAATAAGAATTTTTACAAAAATGAGGAGAGGCTTGGGAACCTCCAGGACATCTTTAAATATTCCAACATCCAAATTATAGGGGTACCAGAAGGAGAAAAGGAAAAGCAACAAGTGGAAAACTTATTTGAACAAATAATAATAAGGAGAACTTCCCCATTCTGGCAAAAGAAATAGACTTTCAGAAAGTCCAGGAAGCTCAGAGAGCCCCAAAGAAGTTGGACCCAAAAAGGAACACACCAAGGCACATCATAATTACATTAGCCAAGGTAAAAACGAAGGAGAGAATCCTAGAAGCAGCAAGAGATAAGGAGACAGTAACCTACAATGGAGTTCCCATCAGACTGTCAGCTGGTTTCTCAAAAGAGACCTTGCAGGCAAGAAGGGGCTGGAAAGAAGTATTTCAAGTCATGAAAGGCAGGGACCTACATCCAAGATGGCTCTATCCAGCAAAGCTTTCATTTAGAATGGAAGGGCAGCTAAGTGCTTCTCAGATAAGGTCAAGTTAAAGGAGTTCATCATCACCAAGCCCTTATAATATGAAATGTTAAAGGGACTTATCTAAGAAGAAAAAGAAGATAAAAAAACATGTATAGTGAAATGACAGCAAACTCACAGTTATTGACAACCACACCTAAAACAAAAAAACAAAAATAAACTAAACAAACAACTAGAACAGAAACAGAACCACAGAAATGGAGATCACATGGAGGGTTAGCAACAGGGGAGTGGGAGGAGGAGAGAGGGGAAAAAGGTACAGAGAATAAGTAGCATAAATTGTAGGTAGAAAATAGACAGGAAGAGGGCAAGAATAGTATGGGAAATGTAGAAGCTAAAAACTTATGACACATGGACATGAACTAAAGGGGGGAATGTGGGTGGGAGAGGGCTATGCAACTGTAATAGCATAATCAATAAAATATATTTTAAAAAAGGTTTAATCCCATATGTCATATGTATTATTACATGTAACATATAAACTACATATATTTTTTCCTTTATAGTGCATTGTAGACCATGGGTCCTACAGGGCTTGAATGGTGACTTTACCCCCTGCTCTGTTCTCCCACCTGTGAGCCCTGCCATGAGAGCTGGATACCAGGAGCTGACAGTTCTAGGTGATGTGATGAACATCTTTCAATCCTGTCACTGTATCTCTGTGCCTGTCCTTACAGTCTCATTCACCGTCATACCAAAATCTAAGCCTGACCTCTTGCTAAATGTTCCCACAGGGGCCTCCTTCTTTCTGCTCCTTATCAAACTTGTACCCACGAGTTCACACCCATCCTCCAGCACCCCCAGTCCACCCTGGGTGCTCCACCATCACCCCACTCCAGGTCTCTGTTCCTTTAGTCCTCCTCAAGTGCTGCCTGTCCCCCTTTTGCTGCCACCCAACTGTTGACACAACATCAGCAACTGCCACTGCTGCGTTCCCTAGGTGGGAGCCCTCCATGTCCTCACAGGTGTTCTCTCAGAGGGGAGGGGCAGCAGCAGCCTCTCTAGGGTCACAGTCACTGGCACTGCAGTTGTCAGCTCTGCAGCAGTTCAGTGGCCTGTGAGGGAATGCACTGCATTAGGTAGGCGTCAGAAGGCCTGCTAAGGGACCCTCGGAATGCACAGGGTGAACCGAGCAGGTTAGCCAGTTTGTCACCTGCTCATGCACTTAACATCCACCTAACCTCAAAGGGCGACATTTAAACACAGGAAGGAACCATGAATGCCCTTGCTGGATGCTCTGACTCCAAGCTTTCTTCAGTGTGTAAGCTTGGCATGCCATGAAGGTGCACGTGTATGTCCCTGGTTATCACATGTGTCTTTTCTGGATAGGGCAGGGTGTTAGGACAGGGGGCACCAGGAGAAAAGACAGTATCTTAGAATGAGAGCATCAGAACAGGAAAGGACTTTGGACTGGATCATTAACCCAGCCCTTTTGTATTACAGATGAACTAAGGGACTCAGAATGTTGAAGAGACCTGCCTACAGACGCCCAGATAACTGGTGTCAGGAACTTTTTTAGATAAGAGGAGCCTTGGAAATTATCAAGTCCAGCCAGGGGCAGGTGGGCCCCTGAGGAAGAGTATCTTTGATGCCCTACCCTTCCCTTTGGCCTAATCCTCTTCCATCTCAACTTGTCAAGTGTGGCCTGCCCAGCCCAGACCTCTCCAGATGGTACCCTGAGTTTTTCATACTTCTTCCCACTTTCCCTTCTTCAACCAAGACAAGCTGCTCCTCCTGTTCCGTCTGTCGAGGCTCCCCACTGAAACCAACTCCCCCAGCTGAAAAAGGAGCTGATAAATAAATGCCTTCCCACAGCGCCAGCTGTTAAGAGCTGATAATAGCTCCTAGTGGTTCTGCACGTCCACGGGTATTCTGTTTTTGACTTAATTTTTGAAAAGGCAATACATTCATATGGCTCAAAATTCAAACAATAGAGAAATTCTCATTCCTATACCTGTATGCCTTCCATTGAGCCAGTTCCCATCCCAACTCTGTGGAAGTAACAATTTTGTGATTAGTTTATTGTGTATTTGTCAGAGTTTCTTTATAGTCATATAAGCAGATACAGATATGTATTTATAGAGAATTCTCAAGAGTTCTCAGAACTCTGCTACTCCTGCTAACACCAGAACTGCAGGCACTCTGAAGTCTCACTGAGCAGCAGGTTTTTCCCAGGACCCCTGGTCAGGACTCACAAATGGCTGCCATGTAGTTGAAGTTTCCTGCTCTGTGGAAAATTGGTTCCAGTGGGATTCTGTAACAAGACCACCGCCAGGAAGAACCACAACCGGCTGCCTCATTTCCAGGTCTCAAAGGAAGAAGTCACGGAGTTGGAGAAGCTCTGAGACCCCTCTCTTCATTGGTTGATCCATTTGTTGAATATTCCTGTGGGGCAGGCACTGAGCCAGGCCCTGAGGACACAGATGTAGTCCCTGCACTCCTGGCAAAAGGAAGACAGCATAACCCAAGGCTTTTGCTTACATTATTTCAATAGCAACTGACAGCAAATCCAACCAAAACGGGTCTATGTTTCAAAAGGGAATTGATTGGCTCTCGTAACTGAAAGGTATAAGGATAGAGTTGGCTTTAGATACAGCTTGATTCAGAGCTTAAATGTTGTCACTAGGAACCATCTCTTGGTTCTGTTCCCTGTGGATTGGTTCAATTCTCAGGCTACTGTTAAAGAACAAAATTCAAGCACTGGCTGGCATAGCTCAGTGGATTGAGTGCGGGCTGCGAACCAAAGTTTCCCAGGTTCGATTCCCACTCAGGGTACATGCCTGGGTTGCAGGCCATGACCCCCAGCAACCGCACATTGATGTTTCTCTCTCTCTCTCTCTTTCTCCCTACCTTTCCTCTCTAAAAATAAATTTAAAAAATTAAAAAATAAGAGTATTAAAAAAAAGATAAAAAAAAGAACAAAATTCAACCAAGTAACTTTGAAGCCTCAGCTGGCTTTATGAAGCAATTCATGAGCTGGGCAGCATCCCATCTAACATGTTCCCATTGTCCCAGCTGAGATTGCAGTTGAGACATCAATTTCTGGGCCAGTGTTTTGATGATGATCCCCTATAAGGGTATAATGAGAAAAGCCTAGGTGTTATTGTGGGGTGTGGGGGCGGGGGAATAGGAGGGGGGAGGTTTCTCTGGCTCTTGAGCTGTTATAACTGTAAAGCTATTAACTTGGTATATTTTTGTTTGTAATCTTCCTCCAGGGTTCTATCAGCTCTAGTATCAGTTCATCAGGCCTGTGGCCTCCCCGCCTATTGTTTGTAAAAGATCAGTTGCTATTTTGTGAGTCCTTCTGGGCAAGGATCCCTTAAGGGAGACAAGGGGATGGGATTTGAGAGTGGAAGAGAGAGGCTGTTAGCTGATTCTTCCAAAGATTGGCTGGAGTCCCCAAAGCATCATGTTGATAGGGAATTGTATCATCCCAGAAGCAACAGTACTTTCTGCATCCATTTTTGAACTTCTTCAGGTCTTACCAATAGGTGCACAAGCTTATAAATATCTGGAAGCCTGGGGGCTCAGGCTCCAATAAAAAATCTGAATTCTTCTTTTCCTAGAAAAAAAATTGTTTAAAAAGTAAAAACTTTAGAGGTTCTTCTCTGGGTTTAGGAACCCCATAGTCCTTAACTATGACCCTTGGGTCAGTCTTTGACCAAGGGTGAAGGGTATGCAAAGAGGTTCATTTGCAGCGGTGGGTGGTTTTGTTTTAAATGATAACTGTCTAGTAGTCTTTCCAGAGTGGAAAAGCAGTTCAGACAGCGGGTTACTAGAATGAATACTCAAATAAAAGAGGATAGATGGGAGCAATGGGAGTTATGTCAATCTTAGTCTTTTGCTTTAGTTATCTTTTATCTCTAATTTTTTTTTACTTTATTTTTAGAGAATGTTTAGTAAAGCTAGGGACAGTGAAACCAGGAAGGACTTAGCATATTGGAAGCAGCAGGAGAGCCCAAACAAGGCTGCCTTGGCTCTCTGGAAATGTTACAGGAAAGAAATGAGCCTTGGGGGGCTGCTTCAGCTCTCCAAGGAGCCAGAGAAAGGGAGCCCTGGGGACAGTGCCAGGGAGTTAGCACAGGACTGGCTGCTGCTGCCCATTTCTCACTGGTTGCAAGTCTCATGGGGTCCCTTAGAGTTTAGGAGATGCACGCCTGTGGGGGAAGAGGAGGGGGATGGGAAAGGGACAGGCACGTTCCTGGGAGGGAGAACACACATGGGTGGGTATCTTTTGTTACAGAAACCCACCTGTGGGCCTATTACTCTGTGGTTCTTTTTGCCTGCTGTAGATAAGAACTGTGGCTCTCAACCAGAGTTTGGTAAAAAGGAAAGGAACTATTTATTCAGAAGTTATACAGGTTCAGGATAATGGCAGAATGTTGCCATTAAATAACAAAGTCCCTTTAAAACACCTACAAGCACACACACACACAGTCCTGCCTCCCCTTGCCACACCAGGCCAGTAGGGGTACCGTATCTCAGGAAAAGAAAACAGAAGTCCATAGCTCAGCTAGGCTCCCATTCTTAATCCAAAGCTGCATGGCACTTCCTCATAGCAGGCCAGTGGGGGTCCTTCTGCATTCTTTCAAACCCCATGGCTAGGACCCCGCACTGCTGCTGCATGGTCTAGAGGCTTGTCCTTCCCCAGCCACATGGTCAAGAAGCTCACGCTGTATTATTCCAGAAGCAAAGTTGGTAGAGTGTTCCATGTCATCAGCTCAGTTACTCAGTCCTGAAAGAAATCAGTTCAGTTAAGTGGTTGAGTCTCACGTGAGGAGGCCGTGATGCAGATGGGCTTCCCAGGTGAGACCTGTGCTGTGTAAACAGGCACTCAGGTATTGAAGAAGGAGTATGCCTATGAAAACAGAAGGAAAAACAAAGGTTAATGATCTCAGCAAATTATAAGCCAGTTTCAGAGTCTGTAAGACTGTCAGTCAAGAAGGCTTTAAGTTTCTCTTACTGGAATTAAAGCAAGCAGTAACAATCTGATAGATCCTCTTTATCTGCAGTTAAGTATCTCTGGCAATGTTATCAAGTGCTCAGGTAAATTTGCTATGGCTTACCCTTCATCACTGGTTTTTAATAATTCCAAGTCAAAGGATGGGAGAAAAATGAAACATTAGTTTGGAGACTTGTAGCCAAATAATTAAGAATCTAGAAAAACTCAGGATTCAGTTCAGTTCATAGGTGAAAAATAAAATTTTGAAGACAATTAACTGAATTAGAGTCTAATATCCATAACCATGTACTATAAATTCTATTGAAACACAATTTTTCCCTTAAAGTCACCCTCATTTTTATCAAAGATAGCTTAATCAAAACATGGAGGGTTATCAGCAGGGAGGGCAAGCGGGGAGAATAGGGGAGGAAGTACAGGGAATAAGAAACATAATGTTAGGTACAAAATAGACAGGGGGAGGTTAAGAATAGTATAGGAAATGTAGAAGCCAAAGAACTTATATGTATGACCTATGGACATAAACTAAGGGGGAGGGGATGAGACAACTTTACACATAATAAAAGTATATTTTTTAAAAATACCATTTACTGTATGAAATCCAGTTTTTATTTGATCTGATGTGTGCATAAACACAAGAATAGTCATTGATCATATAAGCTCTTTAAGTCTGCTTTGCCCGAGTATCATAAAGAATCATTAGATTGAGTTTTAATTAGCCTCCCAGGGCAAAAGAAGTCAAGCCACAGAGATGCCATTTGGCATTGCCTGCAATAACTATAGATTTGGGTGGATTCTTCAAGTTCTCAAGGTTCTCAAAAATATCACAAGGTTCTTTCTTTGCCACCTCCCAGAAAAGCAACCTTTCCTCCTTACCCAGAAAGACTGCCATGAACCATGTGAATAAGCAATGTACCAGGCTCTTTCTCAACGGGGCTCTTATTGGCTTCAAAGTAGAGCTTTCTGGTGCATCCAGAGTCCAGGCGCATCTCTCTCAATCATGACATCCCAGTCAAATGTAATTTTTCATTGGTCTTTTGCAACAAATCTTTCAATGAAGCTACTTTCGAATTTTGAAAACTCTTGTAAGCTTCTACATGCCGATTAAAATAAGTATCTCTCCCTGGCCAGGTAGCTCAATTGGTTAGAGTATTGCCCACCCTGATAGGCCAAGGTTGTGGGTTCCATCTTTGGTCAGACCACATACAAGAAGCAACCAGTGAATGTGTAAATAAGCAGAACATGAAACTAATGTTTCTCTCTCTAAAAATCAGTAATTTTAAAAAATTAAAATAAATAAATAAAATAAGTATCTCATTTTGTTTGCTCAATTGGGAACCCTTAATTTCAAGTGCACTTTTTTAATGTCATTGTCTAATTCGAATGTCCCTCATGATGACCACTATAACTCTAGGCTGTCTCCAGCAAATTTTGCCTTCTTTGCAAATATCTACAGATTCAAAAATCTATCATCCTTAAACATAAAATAAGCAGATCTGCCAGATGGTGGTATGCTTGATTCTTTGTACATAATAAATCCCATCTCTTTTTTTAATTTAATTTTATTTTTTTAAGATTTTATTTATTTATTTTTAGAGAGGGAAGGGAGGGAGAAAGAGAGAGAGAGAGGGAGAAACATGAATGTGCTGTTGCTGGGGACCATGGCCCGCAACCCAGGCATGTGCCCTGACTGGGAATTGAACCTGCGACACTTTGGTTCGCAGCCCATGCTCAATCCACTGAGCTACGCCAGCCAGGGCTAAATCCCATCTCTTAATAGTCACCTGAGGCCTCCTGCTGGCCCCAGTCCAATCCCAGCCAAGAATCACGAACAATTTCTGTGGAAGTTTGGGTTGGGGAAAGGATCGAATCAACAAACCCAAAGAATAAGGACACAGATTCCAAACAAAAAGGAGAACTGCAGCTGCCACCAGCGGTTCCCAAAATGGAATCTAGGGGCTGATTCCAAACAAATGGGGGCTTGTGGACGAACCTGTCATCTCGTCCTAACGTGGAATCCAGGGACAGAGTTAACCCAGCAGAGTTATTCTGCTGGGGCACTATCATCTAAAAGGCTAAAGGCTTGGCCCCCGGTGGAACTATCTGCCAAGTCAAGCTGACTTGCCTGTAAAATAAAGCCAGTTAGATTGGGAACTTGAATGAAAAGAGACAGAAGGTTCAGACTGAGAGGGATTTACCCACAGCTCTCCGAAATGGCTAGAAACACTGTGACTTCACAGTGGAGTCCGTGGGAATCATGCTTGTGTTTCCCATTGTCCAGAATGCTGTTGGAAGCTTGCTTTGGTCCCAGCATGTCATGAAATATGTTAAAGAACAAAATGCAACCTTGCAAATTTGAAGATCTAAGTGGCTTTATTAAGCAATTCATGAGCTGGGCAGCATCCCCTCTAACAACTATTTCAATAGAAGGGCTCTGAGGGGCTGTACAAAATGGAAGGTTTTTGTAGGAAGAAGGTAGAGCAAGGGAGCTATTTCCAGAGGAAGGAAGGAATTATTTTCAGGCCGTGACAGCCTCTTTGGCTGGTAGAAGGGAATGCAAGGGTTTTACCACGCAGATGCCTCTCTGCCTATGGGTGGGGTGGAGAGAGCGCACCTGACAGATTGAACACCTCATCAGTGTTGACCGGAATATTCCAGACTGGTTGTTTAAGATTACACTTCTGGTGTAGTTCAAAACAGCAATTAGGACATGAGCTTTAACACAAGTGATGCCACATTGGGCCTGTGGTTTTCTCTTTAACACTACAAATGGTAGCCTGGGAAACCTCGGGCTCATAACATCAACACCCTAGGCCAGTAGAGGTGAGTGAGTCAGGTATCTCAGAAACACACACATATCCACCCCACCTGCGTAATCACAAGTGAGGTGGACATTTCAAAGAGGGACTGCAGTATGAAAAGAAGCCTGACTCGGGGGGAGGTGTCAGGGAGATGTTCCTTGAGGAAGACGTAGACATGAGCCAGGTGAAGGCTGTGGGTTTACATTCATGGAAGGGGAAACTGGCACGGGAAGGCCTGGAGGCAAGAGAGAACACAGCCCTTCTGAGGAACTGAAACATCTACGATACGATTGGAGCACAGAAGACAAGGTGTGGGGAGAGACAGAGACCGGGGGAGTTGACACAGGTGAGGCAGGCAGCCCACAGGGGACAGGAGCCCATAAGATGGACCTGCCACCTTTAGCCCAAGCCAGAGTCCCTGCTGAGCTCCACAAAAATGGTTCTCTGGTGAGCTGAGTGTCCGGGGTTGTCACCCACACAGTAGCTGGGGGCCCGGTGCTGCCTGCATGTGAGGATCAGATCTGACCAGGTCACTTCCCTACTTTAAACACCGAGTCCCATATTCAACATGGCCTCGAGGCCCTGCCTGCTGTCCAGGCTGCTGTCTCTTCCCACCCTTGGCTTCTCCCTGGCTGCTGGTTTCACACCCCAAATTCCAAGGGGCTCAGGACAGGTATGAGTGCAAGCTGCAAGCCTATCCCTTTCTCACGAGCAGCATCAGGCCTCAGGCTGTACTCACCAGCCTGCCTCTCCACTGGACACCGACCTGCACACCTACTGTGTGAGCTATTACAGTAGGGAGTGAGCAGCGACCGTGCTGGGTGAAGTGAGGGCAGCAGAGCTGGGGCCACAGGACCAAACACAGTGGTCCTGAGCACTACCTCTGGGCTCTGAAAGCTGCCAAACGTTGATCCAGGTACGGCTTTGAACTCCTGATGAAATTTTTGACAACTTGTTTGGAGGGAGCCATGGGAGGTATGACTTCTTCAGGGTCACAGACATAGGAAGGTGGAGAAAGCAAAACAGAGGCGGTCAGAATTACATTTAACGCCTAGTATTTCTTGCCCTTGGTTCTCAGCAGAATTTTCTTTCCACTTCCTCTCTGGTTTCTAATCTCTTTTTGATTTATATGTAAGCTGCCCAGTTTACATATGTGTTTTTAATTATAAGTTACCTCCATCACTTTCTGGAAGCAGACTAATAACGGAAAGAAGAATATTATGAAAACACAGTTGTTTTTTTAATTCCACAGAACCACCATAGGTGTAAAATAATTGGCTATTGATCACCTCCAGGTCCTCCTATGGTGTAAAACATTTCCTTGTCGGACATCTGTGCTGTCACAGCAGAAACACGGCCACCAGTGGTGGACAGTCAGCTTCCTCTGTTTAATTACTTGCTTGTTAATGTACAATACACAATTTCCTCCTGCCAGCCCAAGTGTAACTACAGCTGCAAGTGCACATCTGGGTTTAGCTCGCAGAGCAGCCAGGCTCATGCCAATCATCTCTTGTATGAAAAAAGACCGAAAAAGTACATAAAGCCTCACAGGGGCCCCAGTGTCCTCCTGAATGTGGTTTATGTGCAGGAATTGCCATCTGTATTTTCTCATTCATCAGCCAGAAAATTACACTCCTCCAGATCTACTCTTCGAACCTGACCTGAGAGATCAACCCCTGCCACCGCCAGCGGCAGGATCTCCAGCTGTAACTCCGGACTCTCTGAGTGCACCACTCTTCACTCAGCTCTGCACAATTCAGTGCATCTCAATTTTATATTTCTTGGCATTAGAACTATGGGAGGCCAGCACAGAGCTTCTTGCTGGCCGGAGCTACAGCTACCCGAAAACTGTGACGGGAAGCCCTCCCAGGGGAGGGGAAGGCCCATGCAGGGCCCAGACCCTGGCAGTGCCCAGAGCCCCTCAACTGGGACAGCCTTAGTCCTCAGCACCCATCTGCCCATTTTCCTCTTTTCTCCAGAGTGTCTCCAGGAACGTTATAGAGATGGCTTTGAGCTTTAAAGCATGCAGGACTTAATCTGTGAATGTTCGTGCAACCATTGTTTCTACAAGGCCAAGGCACCCAACCAGCCCTCCCTTCCTCCCCAGACACGAGCTGAGCAGGGCAGGCAGAGAGCAGGGCTCGGGGCCTTTCCCCTGGCCTCCTTCCCAGAGCAGCTTCTTCTCACTGCTGATGGGCCAGGGCCTCCAGGTACCTGTGAAGCCCTTTCCCAACAGAGACACTGAGTCCAGCAAGGAACCTAACAACAGCAACCATCCCCCACACAGAGGGAGGTCAAGTCTGAAACAGCCTTCTGCCTTGCTAAGCCTCGAGCCACTTAAGGTCTCTTTAAAAACAAGCCCCAGATGACTCACCTCCCACAAGCCAAGCACCCTCAGAGGTGTTGTGCAGAGAAAAAGCCATCAACTCCCGAGATAACTCTGTCCTCCCTTCCCTCTCCCAGCAAAAGCAGGGCTCCTACAATCACTAGTGACTATACAGCAGCCCTCGTCTCCTCCACTTCGGAAGATTCATCTGGCAACAAACAGTGAGCCGCACGCAGGGAGCTGGGGTCGGCTGGAGGTGGCCGGACCAGCTGGTGGAACAGGGCAAGGACAAGGAGGGGCCTGTGCGGTGGAGCAGGGGCAGAGAGCGGACGTCTACAGCCTGCTGCACCTGCACACGTGCGGTCGCCGCCAGGCCGCTGTGCACCCCCCGCAGGAGCCTGCTAGAAAGGAGGGCTCGTGCACACACAGCTCACACCCCAGGCCTGCCAGGTCGGAATCTGCATTTTACAGACCTCGGAGGGCGTGAAAGTTTGAGAAGCATCGACTCTTCAGGTGGTTTCCATAACCATTCCACACAGCTACTGTAATAAAAGTCAAGTCTGAAGCTCTTCATTGTGCAAAATAAGAAAACACACCTCTTCGTACTTAATTCTGGTTACAGCCCTGAGAGGTGGGCGGTGTTATTCCATTTTGCAGGGGAAGGACCTAGCTTCCAGAGGTTAGACTGCTTGCCCAAATTTACAAACTTAAAGGGCTAGGCTTTCCCCCTGGGTTCACTTGACCTCTACACCTGCCAGAGAGGCAGGAACTGAGCCCCAAACAAAGTCCCAAGTAAAAGGCCTGTGTACTCTGAATTCGGGCCGGAACTCACTTGAGGAATCTGGTCTGAGACTCCACGGAAAGGGCCAGGCAGGGCTCCTTAGCTGCTCTGGTGACACAGCGGGACACAAAGTCCCAGCATCAAGGCCCTGTCCAGGCCTGTCCTTCAGCTGCCAGCTCCCTCAGAAAAGGACAGAGTCCTCCGGACTTCGGCTGACTCAGCAGCTTCTGCGCCGGGTGGGGATCCATTAGCACAGACGTCAGGGCCCGTCCTGTCAGCTCACTGCCACTCCTCTGGGAGCCGCCTCCCCGCAGCTTCCCAGAGCAACAGCCCAGCTGGAGGCCTCAGTCCAGAAATACAATTTACAACTGCTCTCTCTGCAGGGCCAGAGTCGCTCCTCTGTGCCCAGCTGCACAGATAAAATCCAAGGCTCTAGGCTCCCACAAGGCGCAGCACAGACAACTTTGCAAACGCTCATCAGTCATATATTATGTGCCCAGTAACCAGGCACGGGGCTTTTACACACTCTCTCGTTTTGTCCTTAACCTTCTGAGATACATGCTTCAGAGCTGTGAGAACAGAGGCGGGTAGGTTATGAAGGCGGCATTTAAACCCAGGTCCTAAGGCCAGATCCAGTACTTCCTAACAACACGAGAGCTGCATCCTTCACAGATTAACTGTAGGACTTACTGTATTACTTGGTAATTATTTAATTTGCAAATGTGTGTGCCTTTCGAATAGACCATATACCCCCCCAGGGGTGAGCATCATACTCACTCTTGTACCCCAGTGCTTTCTTAACTCAGTGCCTGGAACATAACACAGGCTGTGTGGATGAAAAGGCGCCACATATTAACCCTGACAAGCTCAGAGGAGGCCTGTGTGGGCGCCTGACAAACTCAGAGAGCTAAGGCAACCACACAACAGGCGGTCTGAAATTAAAACTTGAGTCATGGCATGCAGTCATGGCCTCGGCCGGTGTTCTTCCCTGACAAAGGTCCGTCTCTACCTTAACTGAGCCTTCCTGTTGTCCTTTTGCATCTGCAATAGCCTATCTTTGGAATGGCAGGATAATTTCCTTTTCCCAGACCCCTCAGGACACAAACACTGCACCAAAGCACAGACCACAAATTCTCCTCATCATTATTATTATCATCATGGTAATTGTTAACTGTTAACTATCCTATACCCACCTATGTAAAAGAAGTTTGTCTATTCCTTTTACTTTTTATCCAATCCCAGAGGTGCCTCCTCCTTTGCTTTCTCCCACCTCCCTAATCTGTCACCAGTGGATTTCATGTAACCCCCTCCCTCCTCCCCCTTTGATTCTAATGTATAAAATAAGTGGTAAAACTGCCATTTTCTGGAACACTTTCTCAATCCGTTGAGATTTTGCTTCTCAGCAATCATCCTCGGTTTGGCTCAAATAAACTCATAAAAATTCTTACAGGTTTGGACATTTCTTACATTGACAGCTGAATAGACCATGTTGAACTGAATTATTCAGCAAATTTTATCATGCAAAATATCGTGTACCAAACCTTGTGCCAGCAACCAGGGCCACAAAGATGAAAAGGAGGGGAAAACAACCTGCATTAGATGTTGCAATAGAATGAGGAACTAGTAAGCACAGAGGAACCCACCCAGTGTGGTGGGAGCGTGGGGAAGGGGCATAGGCGTGATGGGGAGGGTCAGGGCAGGTGGCCATGAGTGATGTGGAGCCTGAGAGAGAGTGGACACAGGGAAATTGGCCACAAGAAGGACAGAACATTTTGGGAAAGAAAGAGCAGAGGGTTGAGAGAGCGTCTTTTGGCTCGTGTTTCAGGGGACCATAATAACACTCTGGAGGAAATGGGCTTTCCAAGGGGTACCCATAGATTAAACTCCTCCCCCCAAAACTTCAGGCTTCCGCTTCCCAGAGCAAAGCCTATTTCAGTCAACAAACATTAGAAAACAGACCTGAATGAGTCTATGTGCAAAACTGGAGGTGGAGGACATCCAGCTAAGAGTGCTTAGTGTCTTCTCCCAAACCACCAAACAGCCCGCCAAACCCAGAGAACAGAGAGGGAACTTTTTTTTCTGTACCATTCCCTCTGGGGAGGCTGAAAGTCCCTCCAGTCGACAGTGTCCCCCCACACCCCCGCAGCGTTCAGAATGGCTGCCACAGGAAGTGCTAGAGGAAGCTGAAGGCTGGACGGGCAAATCAGCCACTCTGACAACTGCTCTGTAGCTGTGCAGTGGTGGGGAGCTTCACTCCCAAAGGTGACGAAAGCCACCTAAGAATGGTGAGCAGGACAGTGACAGCACTGGGAAGGCCACTCTGGGAGCTGTGGGGATGAGGAGGGTGAAGAAGAGGACAGGACTTGTGAGGGGTCACCCCTGAGTTCTGGTCAGAACAGCAAGGATGAAAAAAGGCAAAGGAGACAAGAAGAGTCGAGGAAGTGGCAGTCAGGGTCCAATGACTAATTGGGAGTGACAGACAGAAGGAAGGATGGAGTCAAGTTGCACTCCAGGGCTCTGGCCAGGCAGCTGGCTGGGACAATGTCACTCTGGAGACTGAGAGAACAGTAGAGAAAGCATTGGGAGGGGAAGAAGAGATCGCTCTGGGACATGCTGGGTTTGCGATCTTGAATTTTGGGAGTCAGGATGCCCAGGAGGTGTGGGTATCAGGAGAGAACAAGAGTCTGGAAAGAGAGAAAGTGCGAGCGAGTCCAACCACTGGAAGAAGGCACATTTCCCAGGCAACAGGAGGCTGGAGTAAAAAATAGCACAACAATGAGTCACCCAGCATGGTGTTTCTGTGCCTCCACCTCCTCCCATCCTGGGGAACTGCAGCCCCTCTCACACACATCTCAGGTGATCCTAGGGACCCCTTGTGTTGAGGGGGAGGAGAGTGGGGGGAGGTGTTATACATGAACTTTCTTCTTGAACTAGACCTCTGTTGCCAGCATTTCCCACTTCTTTCTCCTGCTCACGATGGGCCACCTCCCAGGACTCAGAGCCACACTTGGGTCCCAGTGCCAGTCAGGAGACAGACTCGGACTCTGACCCACCGCAGTCAGTGCCGCCAGCAAGGGCATTGATGCCTGCAGTGAAAGGAACAACTGTGCAACCAGCAGGTGAAGTCTGACACTATTAGAAGTATGGCTTCTCCAGAAACCAACAGAACCTGACCACGTTTTTGTCCCTCAGCAAGCCAGGCCTTGTCTGGGTCAATCCAGGGCAACGGTGAGAGCCAAGGGTCTAACCAGGCTCACATATTTCAGTGGAGTCTAGTCAGTTTCCTGCTGAGCTCGTCAAGTTTGGAGAGACTTTGGAGACTTTGGTCCTTTCCTGCAGCTGCCTCCTGATGGTAGAGGCAGGAGGCAGCCAGCCTGGAGTTGGGGGCATTGGGAGGGCACAGGCAGAGAGCCTACCCCTTCTTCAGCCCCAGCCTCCCCCCGCATGCCGTGGAAGGGGAGCGGCCCACCACCGAGAGGCCCTGAGGGTGGGGGGCATCATATTCTTAGGCCCAGGTTTCCCAGGTTCTTTTAACTGTGTGTTTCTAACCTAATTTCCATATTAACTTCAGAGGAGTCTACTGTACCTCTCTATTTTAAGGGCAGACCCTTAAACAGCATTGAAAATGGAGATGGTGGGTCTGTAAGAAGACCGTTTCATAGGAAGCAGCCTGCCACGACTCCAGGGGGAAACCAGCACAAAACTAGACTGAGGGACAGGACCTGGGGACTGTGATTCTGAGCAGCTACAGGGATCAGAGGCCGAAGGGAGCCTCGTGCTGCCCTGCAGTGAAGCGCAGCGGTCACGCTTGAGAAGGGAGCAGCATTCCTGAGGACCTGGGCAGAACCTTAACAGGTCCACAGTGCAGACCCAACACAAAGTCCAAAAGCTGGTTACAGGAACTTAACACAGGGCTGGGCCATTAATAACCAGGAATTCTTGCTGTCCACACACAGTCTTCAGCGGCCTTGAGCTCCCCGCCGCCCCCACCCACCCAGGCCGATACTCGGGCAGAAGGCTCGAGGGGTGGGGGGGGGCGCTGGATTGGGGGGTGAGAACACGGTTTCCAACTGCAGGGAGGGGAGGCCAGTAGAGGCCAAGCATCAGACAGGGCCTGACGAATTGTGCAGAAGCCTGCGGCCACAGCCACTGCCCAAGACTCAACACTGCTCTTCTCTCCATTAACCCCAAATAGAAGAGTTCACCACGCTGCCAGTGGTGACCAGTCAAGTCACAAGCAAAGAATCAACAGCCTCTTTCTGGTACACCTTGGACTCTGGAGGGTAGTTCTTATTAGAATCACTTAGTGCACTATCTACAAAACAGAAACACGCCTGATGCTTCGACCACACCCCAAACAATAAAATCAGAATCTCCGGCTGGGGGCAGGGGGCGTGGGGACCAGGCCAGTGGATTGCAAAGCTCTCCAGATGTTTCCAACGTGCAGCCAAGGTCAGAACCTGAGGCTGAACTCCGGCTCGGCTGTTGACCAGCTATGTGCCTTTGAGTGATTTACTCAAACTGTGCTTCAGGCTTCTCACTTGTGAAATGCACATACTGCTAGCATTACCTTTTAGAGTTCTTACAGGCTGAATGTGCTTAGGCAGTGCCTGGTGCAGAACTCTTCCTGTGCTAAATGCTAGCTTATATTATTCATGGTAGCCAGGATTCAGTATGAAACCGAAACCTGAAAAAAAGCCACTTTGGCTTTTTGGGGATTTGTCAGATTTCACCCTTTTAATGATAGCGTGGTTTGTGGAGGTGGGGCTGGGTCAGGCTCTGTGGTGTTGATGGATGATCACGTGCTGGTATTTCTAAAGAGGACAGGGTAGGAGAGAAAATCAAGTCCCATACAGACTGCTTATTATGTCTTAAAATGAGAAAATACCTTTCCAAGAAATCAGCAGCTAATTCTTCCTTGCGGGGGTGGGGGTGGCATGTAGCAGTTTTATTGAGGTATGATTCACATGGCATACAGTTCACATTTAAAGTGTACAACCCAGTGGTGTTCAGCACATTCACAGAGTAGCATATTCTTTTTCCTAACTTATCTTTCAAGGCCTTGCTCAGTCCCGGCCGCACCTGGAGTTCTTGGTGCCATCTTGGAAGCAGGCTGTGGACCCAGCACTGATGCGTTCCCTACTCCAACACGCTTGTACGCCTGGTTCCTCAAATGTGACTGTTCAAGCATGGTGAGCTCAAGATGTTATTTTCAAGTTCCTTTTACAG